CCCTCGTCCGGGCACCTCTGAAGAATACACATACTTACTGCTTAACCATTCATGACCGCCTTAGACCTAGCTCCCTTCTTTCATCTATGACACATATTCCACATCATTCCCCTAACCTCAATGTCGCAGACACCGCTCTCTTATCTCCTTGCTTCTAACTCATTTTCTCTAGAAGGCCACCTCAAACAGGGCTTCCACCATCGCACCACCCTTCACACACTCACGCTGTCACTTATCTCCACATCCAGTTTAAACGCTGATCTTTAACTCCACTTCGCACATCCCTCAACTCCTCTGTCCTCTTCCTTCATTGGTCACATTTGAGAAACCCTTAAATCTAGTCAAATCTACCCACGTAGAACATAACCGGGTGGAGGGAGGGTGCACAGCTGTGTTTATTGACCTCGTATTAAATTCAAAATTAATAGCCTTTTTTTTCTGGTACCAAGGGTCCATCTCAGGCCTTGCATTTGTGAGGCAGGTGCGGTACCACTGAGTTAAGGCCCCCACAAAATTAATAACCCCAAGAGTGCCTTTAATGCTATCAGGCCCTTTTAGACGAATACATTAAATCTTCTCCTTAAATCCCTAAAACTTCCCACTATTCTCACTTCTTAATAGCGAAAACGCTGCAACAGGCAAACTTCCATGCTTCCTCTCCACATGCTCATGCACTCACACTGGGGGAAATAAGCTAAAGTCCCCTCCAGCTTCCCTTCCCGCACCAGTCCACACCCCGCTAAGGCCAGTCTTCTCATCTGATCGGGCCCATTTCTTTCCAGCCAATCCAGTACATGACAACGACGTCCCTCCCAAATCATCAATCTTTCCTCTTCAACTGGAAATTTCTCTTCAGTAAACATTCGAATAAACTATTTTCCATTAAAAACAAAACCAAACTTTTTCTTGAATCTACTTTCCCTTCCAGCCATTTTCCCACTTCACTCATTTTCTCTTGCTCAGAAAACCGACAAAAACTTTCCTACACTTGTGATCTCCAATTTCTCTCCACGCGTGCTCTTGAATCCACTCCATTCAGGTGGCTGTTACCATTTCTCAGAAAGTGTCAGTGTCCAGTTCATCCATACTCACAAAGCAAATACTGTAGTAATTTCTTACTCACTACAGCCTGACAAATCGAAAGCACTGATGTATTTGAGTTGTTTCCTCCTTGAATCACCTCCTTTACTTGGTTTCCTGACAGAATAGTTGTTCTCACGTCCCTTTACCATCAGTCTCATTTACTGCTTCCTGTCATCTCTCCAACCTCTTGAAACTCAAGTGCCTCTCACCTCATTCTTTGAGCCTCTTTACTTTGCAATTCACCTTCAGTTCCTTGGTGATCTCATCCAGTTTTATGTCTATAAATACCACTTATAAAGTGACCATTTTCAACTATCTGCAGCAAGGTCATTCCCTTATAGTTCTCTTTTTAAATAGCTTTTAATTTTATGGAAAAATTATACAAACTTTTTTTTTTTGGTACCAGGGATGGAAACGGGGTCTTTGCACTTGTGAGGCAGGTGGCAGAACCACTGAGCTAAATCCCCAGCCCAGTACAAACTTTCATAATCTAATAATAAGAGAACAACAAGAGTTAATACACCATGTATCCTTCTCAAAGTAGTTACTCAGAGTATAAGGCAGACAAAAAAATATTCTCTCTAACAAGAACCACAAAGTAGTAGAACACTTTCTTTTCAATGAACTAAAAGTAACAGTATGAACGAAACAAACTGGAATATATATCAAAAAGTTTTTGAAACAATGGCTAGGTATTGGGGGGATTATTTTTATTTTCCCTATTCCTTATTTATCTATTTTCTTTTCAGCTAATTTGTGTATTTTGAATTTTTCACATAAGAGAAACCATGCAATATTTAATCTTGCATGTCTTATTTCACTTTACATTATATTCTCAAGTTAGATCCATTTGCCAACAAATACCTGAAATGTATCTTTCTTTATGGTAGAGTAGTACTTTGCTGTGTATAAGTACCACATTTTCCCTATCCATTCATCTGTTAATGGACATATACACTATTATATGATCATAAATCATAATCTGTTATACAGATCATAAATCTAGGTAAGATCTAGTTATCATAAATTGTGCTGCTATAAACATAGCATGTATCCCTGTAATATGCTTATTTTAACTCTTTTGAGAAGATCCCTAAAAGGGGGACAGCTAGATCAAAAGGATTTCTATTTTTAGTTTAGTTTTTTTTTTTGAGGAATTTCCACACTGATTTATGCAGTGATTGTATTAATTTACATTCCAATCAATGGAAAACAGTTCCTTTTTCTCCACATTCCTGCCAGAATTTGTTATTTTTTAAAAGATAGATTTTTTTTTAAAGATAGCCATTCTTCTGGGGGTAGGATGGTATCTCAATGTAGTTTTAATTTGCATTTTTCTAATAGTCAATGGTGTAAAACATTTTTTTCCCATTATTTACTGGCCATTTGTACTGCTGAAAAGTGTTTATTCACTTAGGTTACCATTTTTTGCCTGGGTCTTTTGTTTTTGGAGAATCTACTATTTTTGAGTTGTTTCTATATTCTAAATGTCAGTCCTCTGTCTAAGGAATAGTTGGTATTTTTTTCCCCATTTTTTAGGTTGCTTCTTCACTCTGTGGATTCCTTTGCTGTACAGAAACTTTTAAATTTGATATGCTCCCATTTGTTGATTGTTGATATTATTTATTGTGCCACTGGAGTTCTGTTCACAAAGTTCTTGCCTAAGACTACATCTTCAAGAGTTGTACCTATTTTTATTTCCCAATATGTTTTAACATGTAGATCTCTGATGTTAGTTAAGACCTATATATCTCACTCTATGTACTCAACTAAAATTTCCTTTGAATTTTGGATAGATAAATGTATGGTTTCTAATACATCCACTGGATGTCAAAATGTAATGTCATACTCAAAGTTCAGAATACACTACTATGTCTAAGGTAAAGATAATGCTATTTTTCTACTTGCTTACAGTCAAAACTCGGGAGTCATTCTCCATTCCTTTATCTTGTATCCACATTCATCAGTCAGCAGCTCACATTGAATCTTCCTTCAAACGTACCCAGAACCCATCACTTTTCATAATACCCACTGCTGCCCCTTTAATTCAAATAACTATCACCTTTCCCCTACATTATGGCAATATCTTAGATTATGGCAATAGCTTCCTGTTTTTTCTTCCTGGTTTTCTCATACTTGGTAATATAACTAAAATGTTGAGATCACTGCTTTCTAGCTTAAAACACTTTAACAGAATAATTTATCACTCAAAGCAAAAGCCTACAGCAATATATTACATGATCCGGCCCCCATCACTTATCTGGTTTCATATCTTACTATACTCTCTTTCTTTGATCACTCTGAGTTCCCTATGACACCAGCATCTTGCTGCTTCTGGAATGTTTCAAGCACACTCCTGCCTCAAGGCCTTTGCAAGTACTGTTCCCTTTACCTGGACTCTCTGTCTTTAAATACCTGCTCCTTTGCTCCACTCAGCTTTTTTTTCAAATATACTCCTTCTCTCTACTCTTACTTCTTTATCTTTCCTACTATCACTTGTCACATCTAGATAAACTACAAATATTAAGTATTTATTTCCCTTATTGGCCATATCAAAGAATATAAGCTCCAAGAGAGGTTTGTTTCTCTTTCTTACTGCTGGAAATACAAGATCAAGAACTGTTCAGGCACAGAGTAGAATCTCAACTCATGTTGAGAGACACCATGAGTGCTCTCTTGTGTAGGTAATAAAACAGAAATGAGCTAAGATTCTCCTTCATCTCAGGATGCCCCCTTCACTGGCCCATTCAGAATGCCAGAAATTTCTGTGCACCTTTGGCTTGTCTTCTTTCTAACCTCAAAGTTCTGCCAAGGCTTAAAATACAACAAGGATGGGGTTGGAGGGGTGGGATAGAAATAGAGTTATCAAGGCAAGTTCAAGTTGGTGAAAGTAATCTAAATGTCTGAAGCTATTTTACTAAGAAAAGAATCTCTCTTCCTTATGGTAAATAAACAACTCCTGCAGTACATCAGATAGTAATGAAGTAGCATTGGTCTTACAAGCCTATGCACAGGCATGGGCAGGACTGTGATCAACATGGGGAGAACAGGGGAAGGAATTCTGATGGCCACTAACAAAATGAATGACTTGAGGTTATTACTGAAATATAATATTTCTGTAAGGATCCTTTAAGATTTGTTTGCTTAAAGATAATTCACTGATTCCTCTGAGACTATTGACAGAGATTTTAATTACACAGTCTGCCTCCCAAACCATGATTGGGGACCAAATGTCGGAGGAGTGGGCAGGATGGCAGAAGGTATGGCAGCTTCTGTGGGACAGAATTGCAATACTGAATTATGTATATGTACAAATCATAATGTAAATAAAGACGAAGCAAAAATGAAATAACAAGGTCAGAATTCAGAGCTTGAAAATATCCCCTTAAAATTCAGCAAAGGTTAGTCCATTCTCAACAATGTTTAACAAGAAAATATTTTGTTTTTTGTTTTTTGGTTTTTTGCTGTGAGGTAGAGTAACACTAAGCTTAATTTATAAAGATCAAAATGGTAAATCAAGATATTCTAAAACTACTTGGAATCACAAGAAAAAGCAACACGATTAGTAACAAAACAGAGGTATGTATTCTTAACCCATTCAAAAGAATAAAACCACTATATACATCCAATTACTCTGTTACCTCCACTGGAGAAACATACTGATAATGGTAACACAGTAGAAAGTGATTCAAGAAAGAGACCCTGTTAAAAAAAGAAAGCCCAAGAACTGTATACCGCTTTTTATGAGCTAATCTTTTAAAATTAAAACTGGTTGAAGATAAAATTTAGCAAGCAGTAAAAAACACAAGAAAATTTTCTCTCTCAATGCTTGTGATCAGTCAGTGAATTATTGGAGGTCTAGGCAACTTTCACAGCACCAAGGTTTTTATTTTAGAGCTCCGCACACTTACACTTACCTCTGTTTTCCTCTCCATTGGCGTTTGCCTCAGCCATCTCTGTGCCATCCAGGTCAGATTCACAGACTAAATCCAACGTTCCATCTGCCAGGCATGACTCCTCTTTCTATATTCGTTTTTAAAATGATGATTTATGGAGAAGTATTAGCAACTGGAAACATTCAAAATACTTTCAGAACCCTAAAACATTATTACAGTTAAATGTGATGTGGAATTCTAAAACAGATTTACTTTTTAGTGTAAAAAATCACTCCTTAGGATGAAAAGAATCTACTAAAAGTTCTTTTCTTGGTTGGTATTTTTGGGCAACCTTTCAAAATCTATACCAAATATTAAAACAAAAAAAGATTTCCATATTTTCAATGCTACAACCCCCCTGATATAAACAAATACAATTAAAAACTCAGAATTTTGATTGGTAAATTTAATACGAAGTAGGTACAAAAAGCAACTGAAAGAAAAAACATTATATTAACAAGCCTGTTATTTTCTGCAAACCACACAGTGACAAGAACCCAATTTTGAATAGTTAAGGAAAAATCCCCACTAATTTTTTTGGGGGGTGCCAGGTATAACAGGGTTTTAAATAACAATAATAATAATAATAAAAATTAAAAATCTCCTCAAAAGAAATCAATGAACTTTAAATATAACCCATTATATATGAAAAAAGTGATGCCTTTTTAGTTCGCAAGAATTAATATATCAAATTTACTTGTTCTAATTTATACAACCATTTGCAGATCATAAGAATTCAGTCCTCTGGAATTTTACATTTTAGATGGCATTTCCCATTATAGGTGGAAATGGCAATTATACTAAAATAATTAAGACGCAGTTGTATGAAACTTTCTATTTTATTTTTGTGTTTTGCTCAAATAACAAGTATGAATTATTAGTAAGACTTCTTTGAGAACACCATTTATTGTCAAATTAGATACCTGATTTATATCAGAAAGTTTTCAAGCATAAGGAATGTCTTATTTTTACAAAAACCAGAAAGGTATACAGGTGTGAAGTCTGTACATCAACCTATAGTCACTAATTCAAGGAGTTTAGGGCAACTGTGATCATCTTAAAGTCCTGATGACCCATGACACTCTTTCCCATAAATTTTAAAGAATCAACAACTTTATGGAAACCACAACTATTTTCCATTACCATCTGTTATGCACGAAACCAAAGATATGCTTGCCTTAAAGAAATATGTCATTGTTTATTCTTAATATGAAGTAACTTTATTACATATGAAAATACTTAAAAAGCCTATTATTCTTTTACTCTTCATTCAAATTTAATTTTGTTTACCTTCTTTAGGATTGAAAAGAATGCATGATACACAGTAATAATACATAAAATCAAGAACAATTCAACTTACTTTGAGAGCATAGAGGCCTGACTTTCCAGGGATTTTGAAGAATGATCCATCCCCTATTCGAGTGTTAGTGTGAAGCATTGCATTCAGACAAGCTAATGGAGAGGTTCCACTAGAAAATAAAAGTGTAAAAAAATGAAGCAATCTGATATGCAGCTTCTGTGGCAAAACTGTTCTCTGAATCTCAAAGAAAAAAAAAAAGAGCTTCTTGCATGCCTTTTTAAAAACTCTGAAAACATCTACATTACAATAACGGGCCAGTCCAGTTTCACCAAAGTTAATCAGATGCATCTGTCTTACAGGCTTCAGGCAAAAAAGTTCCCTAAATTGAAATTATGCTTTTATTCATAAAGCAACCAACACTGTATATTAAAGAAACCAAAGCCCCAACTTTTATGTGGTGTTACACTATGAAGCCTCGGTTTTAAAATACTAGAGACAACTTGATGGTTGCACTTGAATGATCAAAAAAAAAACAAGTTCAAGGGCAGCTCCATCTCCTAGGCTGAAAAAGCAACAAAAGAATAATAAGAAACCAGGGAAGACCTGATTTGAAATTGTAAGCATTTAAGTTACTCACGGTAATGCATTTTTCACATGGCCAAATAACAATCTATATCTGTATCAATATCTCTTCTACAGCTTCTACAATGACATCCTTTTCTCAGTTATATCAAATTTAAAAAATATGTGTTTGGGAATCCTGCCCAACTAATAATTATGTTCTGCAGTAAAAATGCAAGTGGCTAGATTTTGAAATTGGTTATTTTAAAAGAAATCAAACAGTATTAAACTAATGATTTTAAAATATCGAAACAAATATGTGCAAACATTACTGGGATTTATTTACGTAATTGCCAAGATATTTGCAAAATATATAATCTGTATGTATTTTCAGGGTAGATTTTAGATCATTTTTGTGTTCTTCTTGCAAACTAATTTTTTGCAATATAGTATTTCAGCTATAATTATTACTTTTATTTAATTATGTTTCTATATACATTTAATTTCCTTATATATTAAAAGACCAACATTTGGTGAAAACAATTTTGATTACAAGCATTACCTACACCCCTTATACCTCTTTAGAGTCATGGGTATTTAAGATTTTCTTAGGCAAGAAGGCTTGTAAAATACTGAACTTTTAAACTTTGAACTTCTGGAGTAAAAACATTTTTATGTTACTAACTTAAAACTTCTAAAACCCAAGATTATTAAATCTTTTACTATAAAAATTATCCAGTAAAATGAAAAAGTCAAATTCACTGAGTTGCCAGAGCACACTTAGCAGTAAGTCAGTGTGTGTGTGTGTGTGTGTGTGTGTGTGTGTGTGTGTTCATCATGGTCATAAAGGTTCATAAGTATTAGAATAATATGAAGACTGTATTATTTCAGGATGCAGCTTCTCTGTGCAAGCACATAAATATGATTCTATTGGATCTGACAAGAAACAAGACTTCTAAAATAAATCTGGTCATAGAACAATGCAGTTGTAGCACTAGAGTACACATGGTAATAATGTTGTGTGCTTACGTAATATTTTATCTTATGAAGCTCCTAGAATTTTACAGACCTCATTTCATTATTCTCCCTTACAAAAGATTTTTGCTCATATTTAAATGATCCCCGTCACATCTATAAAGTGAAATACATTTATCTCCCCAGAAATGTCTCTCACTGTATGAATTTCAGATAAATAATGCAATTCATGTTATACTGAACACTGCAAAATATACATTTTTACATTATACTCCTTGGAAAATTTGAAGCTGGGAGTCATTGTGCCAGATTTTTGCAGTTTTAATTTAGTGAAACTGTCAGAAATGCAGACTTTCCGTCGGGACTTGGCAGGAAGATGTGAACATGACAAGTAAAATAGAATCCAATACATAAAAATGACACAATGTAGATTTTTAAAATGCAGCCTAATAAAATTGTCCATCTAACATGAGGCCTCACAGTATTCTCCCAGCTCTTGATTACTAAGTTGTGAATGAACACAAGATCTAAACATTATAGAGCAGTACAGATTTAAAAGCAACTTAGAAATGCTGAATAAACATAACACCACTAAAATTTACATTTTGTTTCTAAGGTAAAGATAATTGTAAAAGATAAATTGGCTATTAAATAGCAGCTGCTGAATGCTATGCTTACTGCAAACATATGTGCTAAGTATCAGGTTTCACACAAATAATAAGCTCTATTGAGCATGAATATATTATTAAATAATCCTGCTTATTAACTTAGTAAACTAAGATTTATATGGAAAACTTTGAAAACATGTAATTTAAAATCACATGACCATACATACCTCTTTAAAAGTCTAAATGACTATTAAAATTTCCCCAAATCTAAAAAATAAGCCTAGGTAATTTGTTTTATTTCAAAGCTATAAAACATTCACATTCTGGAAGAATCAGACAATATATCACAACTCAGTTCACTCAATGACTAGCCACTTGGTATTAAGCATATTAATTGCATAATTCTGGTCTATTTTATTTAAAAATAATACCTAAACTCATCAAAAGAGTTTAATACGTATTAAGAAGTAACTGATTCATCCAATGCAATAGACACAATAGGAAAACATATCTTAAAAGTCTTTCCTGCCACCATTTTTATGGATATCTAATTTTCTCATGAAGTCCATAAAGCCTAGACAACGCATACTTCTTTTCTTGAAGAAAGGTATGGTCTTAATTAACTGCTAGTGAGTAGGAATAAATTAAAATATTGTTTATAAAATTTAGTATATTTATACTTGAAAAAATCAATTTACCAAATATATTCTATACATATATATTTAAAACACAATAGCTACGAAAGATGAAGAAAATATGCTTCCAAAGTCTGTATTCTCAGAGATCATGAACACCTGTGAAACACTGCTTATTTCTAGTTTAATCAAAATTTTTTTCTTAATACTTAATGCAAAAGTTAATCACCTCAGTCAGAATTAAAACACTAAAATTCTGTAATTGCATATGAAGTAATAAAACATCAATGGTTTAAGAAAATAGCTCTGAAATTTCAGAAGTACTTACTTTCTAACAAGATGAATTGGAGGAACCATGATAGTCCAATTTATAAAAGGAAAAGGAAGAAAAATAAAGTTAGTTTTCTACCATAAAACATAATTCTTCATTTTACCATTTCAATAAATAGGACAATGTACAAGAGCTAGACCAAAGCCTTCTATCTGATTGCCTGTGGGGAGGTTGGGAGGGAAAAAGAGCTCTGAGCTAAAATGTGACTTTGGCTTTTTTCCCTAATACTTCTATAGTGTTTTCATTTTGTTCCTAATACTCATATATTTTGATACTATCGATACTATAAGAAATAGGTTAACAAGACAATATTTGCACCCAATTGTTTTCTTTTGTCTATCCCCTATCAGTGGGCCCTTTTCTATACACCTGCCAGGGTAGATACACAGCTTATTCTACGTGTTTTTTTTTTTTTTTCCCTAGACTGTAGGGCTGTGGAACCCTTCTGGTTTGTTTTCGTTTCCCACAGCCCCTGAAGCAAAACAGGGGTGGAATTTGGAGGCAGGGGAGCAAGCATAATTTAAACTGTCTAGACATCAAAGGACCCCCAGAGACACTTTGCAGAGCCCTGATGTGTTGTGAAATACTGAAAAATCATTGCTTTATGTCATCAAATTGCTGATGGAACACATAAAATGTTATTAATACTGAATACTCAGTGAAGGAAATGGACAGCCTATTTATATAATTTTAAAAATTAGGAAGAGTACAGGAGAATGTGACTGAAAGATTTTCAGACATAACAAAGAAATATAACATGGGCCTCCATTCCTTTACATATAAAATAATAATTTTACAAGACAATATTTAAGCAACCCAAATCTTAAGATATTGGATTATGTATGTAGCTTGCAATAAAAATTTTAGATAGAAGCTATTTTTATAAACATTTTAGAATCTCCCTTTTCAAAAACAGGAATATCAAAACAATCGTAGGTAACAGTCTAGAAACTCAAATTCAATATGCAATTATTACATAGCATTATTACACAGTGCTATTAATATAAATAATTATATACTTACTCTCCTTTAAGAAAGAATTAATATATTCTTTCTTAAGTATTCTTAGTGCCATCTCTAATAAAATATCAATTATAAAGTATATATTTTCAACAGTAATTATGTGATACTTGTGGTGCAGATAAGTTCTATATTGCTTCTATAGGATCTTTGTGCTCACTTTTGGAAAATCAAATTGTTTATACTTAGAATTTGTACTATATATGTATTTGTATATAATACTTTACAAAAAGTTAAAAGTGAATAATTTACCCTTGGATTTATTTGGCTATTCATTTATATATTTAATGGTTATGCCCCTACTAGTGGAAGATAAAACTATGTTTACTAGAATGGGACAAATTTCTAAACACACAAAGTAACATAATGCAAATCAGCTGATGATTAAAAACTATCCTAGATAATTTAAATTGATGATTAAAACTATCCTAAAAATCAAGATCAAACCAACTTCTTATTCATAAGAAGTATTACTGCTAATTAACAAAAATCTCTAAAATGACTAGAAAAATAAACCTTTATCAAAAGCAGATATAAAAAATGAACATCTAAGATATATAATTACATATATTAATGAAAAATCTCAGCATGAAATATGAATAAAATATAACCTGCAATAAATTAAAGTTTGATGTTGAAGAACAGTGCAAACTTCATGTTCCTTCCAAGATCACTAACGTGAGTTGTTAATGAACATTTACATATGAAGAAAAACACAAATTAGAGTTTAGAAAAATTTAAAATAAATTGTATTAACTCATCAGCTCAAGTAAAAGGTCATATTAAGAGGAAGATATATTGCAAAATATTTACATGATTTTCAATATTTAATATCACTAAGGAAAAGTTTCTCTTGTCAGGAGAAGATATTGAGGCAAGAAATAATTATCAAATAAAATACACCACACAATATCTTCTTAAAATTGGAGATATAATTACACACTTCAAACTTCAAAGTGTCTGACTGACCTGAACAATGTAAAAATATATTTTTCTTTGAATTTCAACAGATGTAGACTTTTTGTCCACTTCACAGAGA